TATTTTTGGTTGGAGTTCATGAAGCCACATGTTTTTATGACCAAACGGCCCTCAGAATTATGGACAGTTATTCTGACTTGTAGCGCTTTCTCCATTTATCTTAGAATATACACAATCATCAGTTTTTCTCTGTGGACATTTCCTCTGTTACTCTGACATTGTGATTGGATTAGGACACCTGAGCACTAACTTCAGTTTTTAGAATGTTTCTGCATTTTAGTGATAATTGTCTGAGCATATTATTGCTCTGATTGTTTTTAAATCTCGAGATAGACTTTAGGTTGTTAAGGTAAATCTTTTATAGCTTTGTCTGAATTTCTTACAAGAGCTCTTGGTCTTGACAGCTGAGATTTGTTGGCTGATCTCTTTTAATGGTAGTTAGATTTGAGTTTTGTAGGCTGAGAGGCAGAACTGCTTGGAACTGGTCTTTTTAATGTATGATGGCTTTAAATGCAGACTTTAAAAAATGGGCCACCTTGTAAAAAGAAAGTCTTAGTCTCTAGAGTTTATTCATTCCTTTTCTTAGTTTGAACCAGTCCAAGTTTATAACTCAGTAGAGTTAAAAAGTTGGACCTTTTTTTTTCAAATCTCTGTTGGGCCTAGTAATTTGAGGAGGAGGAAACTAATATGAGCTTCATATTTTCATTTTAATTTAAATTCTAAGATTCTTTGATTCTCTGGAGCCAAAGCATATCAAGGGTTTTCATGAGGGAGTTATGACTGGAGGGAAAGAGTGCTGCCTCTTGGTTCTGAGTGACAACCCCTGCCCTCTGCCCTTAGCTGAGAACTCAAAGAACTGTGGCATGGCACTAAAATGAGCTGAGTCCTAGATTTCAGCCAGATGGTCAGTATAGGACTTTTAAAGGAAGGGAAATAGTAAAAGAGTAGTTTCAGAGGAGCTCTCTTATGTTAAAGAACTGAGAAAATGGAGTCTTTCTGAAGCTAAGTGTAAATTATACCACCTTCTTGGAGCAAAAGCTGCTAAATGTAACAGAAGAAAATGACAGTGTAGGAAATCAAAGTTCAGGAGCAGACTTTCAAGGGTGATTTTCTAATGCTTAATCCTTTCTTACTCCCCTCTCAGGATCCATTCCCTCCTTTTCCTCCCCCTCTCCACAGTCTGTTTGAAAGAGATTTTGATGGGTAATGGCAAAGGAAGGCACCTTTAAATGTAGTGTAAATGAAGGCATAAGATGCCCTTTGTATAGGAATTATCGTAGACATGCTTTTGAAAACATACTTTTTTTATTAACCTTATTTAAGAAAATAATCAAAGGTATGATTTTTAAATCTTTGAATTTAGTCTGCTTTCAGTAAAAATAAGGTATAGGTACCAAAATAAGCAAACCTCCTTTTTTTCTTTCCTGGTTTCTGCTTATAAGATTTACAGGTATTTAAAATAAACCCATGAAAAATAGAAATACTGTCCTGGGATTGGCTAAATAGTAAGAGCAATTACCTCCAGGCCTCAAAATCCAACTGAGCTTGACTTTTGGAAATAAATTTGGCTAAGACTTCTTCCTAATTCTGTTGTATAAAGGTGTACATGAAATGATACTGACCTCTGCCAGAAACCCCAGGAATCCTATTCAGTGATGTACTTGTAACGGTCATGAAAGAATTAAAACAACACAGATGTGGATTACTGTGAAAAAGTAGGCAAAACACTAAATTCTCATTGTGTGGTTTTAATGTTGCAGATCCTTCAAAATTCTTTGGTATACCACAATAATTAAAGGGTTTAAGAACTTAAGATACTTAGAAAATAATAGCCCACAGTTGAATAACAAGAGTGGCCCTTTTTTATTTTTTAAAATTGAAATTAATTTATTTTGCCATGGAGAAAATAGGTTGAAATATTTAACAATTAACTGTTTTGTGCAGCTACAGCCCTGGAGATCAAAAACAGCAATGTAAGTAAGCAGATCTTTAAAGAATCATGCTTACAGATACGTTTAATCTCACTGATTCGCTAGAAGAGAAATGCGTTGTTTTCAATGCTATGCAAAGAAGTTTTAATGGACTTGATGTTGGCAGTGAGAATCTACAACTTAGCATTAATAACTCAAGTTTGAAAATATTTGTTCATTGCTCTAGATTATGACTGTGTTCAAGAAATACTATTTTCAAACACTAGTTAATCATTTTAAATAAACTTTTAAAAGCTCATTTATGACATCAATGAGTATGACTGTTTATTACATTTTACCTATAAAAAGTTGAACTGTTTTATATACTCTTTATGGAAACTGCACAGTCATAAATTAAAAGATGCAACTGTTTTGGATATTTTACTGGTGGTCCTGAGTTTTCCTGCCAGCAGTGCAGCTGTTTCGGGTTTCTCAGGATAACATATAAAAAGCTGTATGTACACTGCAAGTTTATGCTTGAATTGCCAAGCCAGAGATGGTATGACTCAACTTTCCCAGAAACAAGTTGTACCAAAATGTGATGAATTAAAACAGCTAGTTGCACAGTGATTTGTATTCAATTATGAAAACCAGTTCTTCATTTTTGATAGTTGGCTTTGTAAGGTTGACACATTCAACTGTGGTACTTGAATTTTGCCTTGGGTAAACAGCCATTGGAGCTAAGAGTGTGCTTTTGTGGGTCTGAGGAAAGGGAAGAGGGGGTGATACAACATTATCTGGGATATGGATAAAACTTAGCTTGAAACTTGTATCAGGAATGGAAGATTTCACTTCCAAGATACCTGTAAAAATATTATTCACTTATTATTTGTGTGTTGTTGTTATTTGTGTGATAGTTATTTCTCGGTGAAGAGAAATTGATTTTATGCTGTCCCAGGTTAATTTTTACTTTCTGAGGTGATTTAACACTTAACTTATTTCTCATGCATCAGAGTCCTAACAGTGAACATTTTATTTTATCTTGGAAGGTAATAAGCACATACTTTTATGGCCATGTATTAGGTTTGGTGAATTCCCATTTAAATCTTATGGGACCCAAGGTTATATCAAGGGTTTGACGATGATTGTTTAATAACAGTGGTCTCCAAAGTAGGATGCATCCCATCAAGACATGTAAGATAGGATATAAGGAGAAAATATTAGAACTTTCATTTAAATATTTTAATTTCATCCTTTAAATGTTTTAAATTTCATATATATATTTTATAATATACTTACTAATATATTATGTGTATATATACTATGAAAAGTGAAAGTGTTAGTAGCTCAGTAGTGTCTGACTTTTTGCAATGCCATGGACTGTAGCCCACCAGGCTCCTCTGTCCATGGAATTCTCCAAGCAAGAATACTAGAGTAGGTAGCCATTCCCGTCTCCAGGGGATCTTCCTGACCCAAGGATTGAACCTGGGTCTCCTGCATTGCAGGCAGATTCTTTACCATCTGAGCCACCAGTGTTGCGGGGGGGAGGTGGGAGGTGGTGGGGGGGGGGAGTGAAAGTGTTAGTCATTCAGTCATGTCCGACTCTTTGCAACCTCATGGACTGTAGCCCACCAGGCTCCTCTGTCCATGGGATTTCCCAGGCATGAATACTGGAGTGGGTTTCCATTTCCTTCTCCAGGGAATCTTCCTGACCCAGAGATTCAACCTGGGTCTCCTGCTTTGCAAGCAAATTCTTTACCATCTGAGTCACCAGGGACGCCCATATATATACTATGATATATATTTAACACTTAATATACTAATATTATATGTTAATACTCTATGTGTATAATTTTAAACAAGTATACAAATTTTGGAGATGCATGCTCAAATATTTTTACTGCTATAAATATACTATCAAAAAAGTTTGGAGATTGTTGCTCAGTAAATATTAACTTCCTTTCACCTTTCACTTTCCTCTTTTACCCTTGGTGGAGAAGCACAGAATTGAGTTAACACCTTGATTTGTGGCAGTGTGAATAAATTATAGCCAATTCCAGAAGCTTATGCTGTGTCTTACTTTGACCACTTTTTCTATTTGGTCTTTTATATTACCATATATTTTTTAATCCACAAGTTTATTAAACATGGGTACAAATGAAAAACAGACTTGTTATTATGTTAGAAATAATAAGTTGCTCATGCATCAAGACTTTGACACACAGGAAGTCTGAATGAATGAGAAGAGAAAAGTTTCCAAGTTATTAAAATGTTCTGGTACCTGATTTATTCATTTGCCATACCCATAATTCTAAAGTGGGTGAAGCTGCTTTACTTCCTGAGGCCTGAAGAAACAATGTGGTTTCTTAAACTAGGCATTAAAGCAAAGCTGGAAATATTTGTTTTCTGACAGTGCTAGTAGTCATGCTAACAAGTTTTCCCTCTTTAGCTAGGATTACCCCATTGTAAGGCCTGTTTGTATACCTTTATCAAAGCAGAAGGTTTTAATTGCTAAATAACATGTGTGTAACAGTCTTTTGAGATTTATTCAAGACTCTTCTGTATTTACTAATCGAGATATTCTTTTGAACTCAGGCTGTCTCAGAGATTTCTTGGATGTAGTTTTCTAAGATTTCCTTTTCTGTAAGGAGGGAGACAATATATTTTTGTAATATTGAAGTAATTTTGAAGTAACTAGTATGTTCTCTCCCCTTTATCACTTGTTTTGGTATTTTTTTTTCAGAACATACTTATTGTAAAATATTCAGTATTTATGTAAAATTTTAGTAATACAGTAGTATCATGATGTACATTCATTTATTAAGTGTATGCCAGGAAGGATAGCAGCAGTTAGGTACCCAAACAATAGCCATCAAAATAAATTAGTTCTGAAAATTGGGAATATGGAACGTTTTAATAGCAAGTATTATTTTTGAAGACTCCTTCAGAGCTGTTTTTAGATCTTAATGTAATTCGCTTTATAATTTAGAGTTGGTATGTTTCCTTTTAAAAGATAACAATGCATTTATAAAGTCTGAACGTTGCAGTCCTAGAATTTGACTTTTGAATCAGTTTTACTGTTGCTTTTTAAAGTGTTACCAGTTTACATGTGCTTTCTATGTCAATGCCACACTTTCTGTTTTGTTGTAGGTATTTAAACCATGTCAGAGCTGCCTCTCCACAGGACCTTGCTGGAGGCTATACTTCTTCTCTGGCTTGTCACAGAGCACTACAGGATGCATTCAGTGGGCTTTTCTGGCAGCCCAGTTAACCTTTATTTCTCCCCTATAAGATCTGGACCTTGGAGCCGAACCACAGAGCTAGCAAAGTAAGGCAGACTTGTAAAATTATAGCCATGTGCAGCTGCATAACAACAGTCCTACCACTAGCAGCTGCGTTAAAGTATTTATAGAGAGAAATTTTCAGAACTAAGCTGGGTAATATAGTGGATAAATATTTGTGGAAAAGATTTATTTTTTACTTATATTTTTCTGAGCGGGATTGAAGCCGTAAGCCTCATCTGATGGAAGATATGAATAATTCACCTATGTGAGTTTGAGGTTGACAGACTTGTAAAATCTTTTAAAAAATAAAGCTAGACTTTATATTAAGTTTTGTGGTTTTTCTCTTATTATAGTGTTTTACTTGAACACATTTAAAAATGCCATTTTGAATACGACATTTAGTGTTAATATCCAAGACTATTATTTCTTCTCATAAAATGTTCCATTTTTTTTTCCCAATGTCTTCTTAATACTAGTCCAGACAAGTGGATATATTTCCTTCTACCAGCAGGTTGTGGCAAGTAAAACCTGACCTGTGATAATGTCACTCTTTCAATATTAAGGACTAAGTGCCTGTTTTGAGCAGTGAAAAGTGAGACAAACCTTGATCAGTGTGTTATAGTTCCCAGCTGTGAGCCTCACTTAGGATAAACCAGAGCAGAGTATTAACCTGCTTTAATGACAAATTCAAAGAAGTAAGTTAATAAAATTTAATACTTAAAAGGTACCTTTCACCTCAATGTGAGCTCATTTTATGATGAAACCTTGGAGACTGGAATGAATATATTTTAAATGAAATTTCTCTATGAGTAAATTGCAGACCCCGGTATAGTTTCTTTTGAAACTTCAAAGGCTTTGAGTACACCCAGAATGTTGCTTACAGAGTTTGGATGTGGATAAAATGGATATTTGTAGCATCTCAACCTTGTATGAGTCTGTTACCTAGAAGACTGGGTATGGGATATCGTTTCTCAAAGAAATTAAGGGATTTTCTATCAAATCTCCATTACAACAGATGTTAGTTTTATGAGTGGAAAGTTATGTGAAACAAGATTTGTGGGTTACATCAGAGTAGAATATTCATATGTAACAGCACCATCTTATTTGACTAAGTAGGCATTAATTTCAGGAGTGTGTGTTCTTCACAACCCTTCTGTCTTTGATAATTGAGAAAATCAAAGCATCAAATAATTAAGTAGGCTAAAATCATACACACAAGCCAGAATTAGAACACAAGTGGGTTTTTAAAAAATCCAACTCTCGTTCTATCTATACTGTACTAGGTTGCATCCTGTTTTTCATATCTATTGGCCAAAAAGTTCACTCGAGTTTTCCTGTACAATATTGCAGAAAAACCTGAACAAACTTTTTGGCCACCCCAGTATTAGTTTTTTCCCAATAGAGGATTAGAACTTTTAAGTACAACACATAAATCAGTTCAAAGAATAGTGAGAACATTGGACTTGTGGTTAAGGATTTTCTGTACTCAGCTGCCAAAGTAAGGTATCCAGTCTTTAAAAAAGAAATACAATTATTTATTTTCAGTACCTTGTATGATGTATTTAAATAGAATGAATTAATTATTAACAAAATATTTCAAAGGCTTTCAAAATTTTTCTGAAAGTTTATTATTGTGGAAATTACCTGCACCTGATTTGGGAAATCAGTTAAATTCTACCACCTGGATATGTTGTAATTATTTTACCCTTACTATTGCCATACTTTGTTCAACAGGCCAAATTTAAACATTGTTAACTGACCCTATTAGTTCAAAGGGAATGGTGAAAGATAACCTAATGGCAACAATTTACTAAATAACAGTATTCTATGTTGATGAAATTATCCTCTATCTTAGTGATTTACTCTCCCAAGACAAAAGTGCGAACAAGTCTTTCATCTACATGAATTTCCTAAGTTTTACAATACTAGCACAGTAACAACTACTGAACATTAACCTATCTGTGAAGCACTGTGTCTCATGCTTTATGAATAATCCTTGTAACAGTGCTAACATTATTTCCCCATTTTCACAAATGGGGATGCTTTGGTTAAGTAACCTACTAAAGGTCAGTACATCTTAAAAGGAGCAGAGTTTGGGTTTGAACCCAAGTGGTTAAACTGCAGAGTCCATGTCCTAGGGATGACTGTCAGACTTATAAACAACAGCTGTGTAAAATCAAGTCTGAGTAGACAAACTTCTTAAGACTTTAAGGAAATTATAAAATTAAAATCTGTAAAATTAAGGAAATTTTACAGATCAAGTTCTTATATGGGATATAAGAGATATCAACTTAATAACCATGTTGATATCTTTAATAGAAGTTCTAAGGAATTCATTACAGAGAACATGAATGGACTACTAACTGCACTCTCTTTTAAGCAGATACTAATGGTATTGAATACATTTACATAGTAATTGTATTATTGTTTAGTATTCCCTGCTTTCTTTCAATAAATATTTGATCTAAGCTTCTCACTTTAGGCTGTCAACAGGTGACTTGGATAATCATTTCAAAATCTAAAGTGGCAGAAAACTTGTCAAAAAAATTAACAAAGTTAAAAATTCTATCTACTGAGTGTTCTGGCCATCATTTTCTAGTGGATTAACCAAGAATTCAGTTACTAATTATCACATCCAAAAGGGGTGACTGTGAATGTATCTTACCACTTTACATGTATGAATAAGAACATCATTTGACCCACACTTAGTATTTATAGCCTAGCACGTGGATGTACATTACTAGGAAAAAGTTCTTATTCCACTTGCAAATTTATTACGTACATTTCAACCGGGAAAAGGCCAACTGTAGAACCTTGGCTGAATCCAGCTGCTTCCTGTTTCTGTATGCTCCATGAGCTAAACTTGGTGTCTGTATATTTTTAAGGCTGGAAAAAACCAAAGGAATAATATACTTTTTAGCATATGAATTTAAAATGTCAAACTTTCATAAATGGTTTTTTTGAAACAGTGTTTGAGTATTGTCTCCAGCTGCCTTTTGTCTACTATGGCAGAGTTGAGAAGCAACAGAGACCTTATAGCTTGTGCATGAGTGCTCAGTCATGTCCAACTCTTTGTGACCCCCTGGACTATAGCCTACCAGGCTCCTCTGTCCATGGAATTTTCCAGGGAAGAATACTGGAATGGGTTGCTGTGCCCAGAATACTGGAGTTAACTGCTTTTTGGGCTAAGAGGCAAAACTGAGGCCATTATGTAGATAAATGAGATAAAATAAATTGGCACAATTTTTTAAATTAACAAAATTCAAAATATAATTGAGTACATTTTTTGTGGGCTTCCCAGGTGGCTCAGTGGTAAAGAATCTGCCTTCCAAGCAGGAGATGCCTGCCAAGCAGGAGACTTGGGTTCAGTCCCTGGGTCTGGAAGAGCCCCTGGAGAAGGAAACAGCAGTTAACTCCAGTATTCTTGCCTGGGGAATTCCATGGACAGAGAAGCTTGGCGGGCTACAGTCCATGAGGTCAAAAAGAGTCAGACACAACTTAATGACTAAACAGCAGCAACAAATTTTTAATAGTGCTTTTGCGGGGAGGGAATTAGATTTACTTGGGGTTCTAAGTGTTCCATCATCAAAATGAATTGTATTTGGTCACCTGCTAATGGTTGTATGTAATGAGATTTTATATATTTCACCTTTAAAAAAGTCTTTTCAGATAGATACTGCCAGATATTGGAACATGTGATTTTAACTGAGCATATACATCATTTAGAAGGCTTTTCTTAATCCCCCCTTGGTATTTACCTTTTCACATGTCATTACAGTAAGACATTTATCACTTCCAATTGAAGAGCAGATGAAAGTTCAGTTGTAGTTAAATGGGTTCTGAAACATGGAAATTTCTTTACATTTACACCAAGGTTCCAAAAATGCTAAACTCAGAAAAAATACATCCACTAACATATGTGAGAATGGAAACCTTGTTCCTTAATTTTTGATAGATGAGAAATGTAGTCATTTCATATTATTGCAGTATGTTTCACATTAGTTACTTTTGTCCTGTAATTGTGGTTGAAATATTTGAGAAATATTTACCAAGCCTTTAGCAACTAACTTCCAAAGACATTCAGTATTTTAGAAGTGTTTAAGGTTGGTTCTTAAGAAAAATTTCAATCTTGGCCATGAACCCAAAAAATTGCAGTCAGACTTTACAGTTGCTAAGCAAATCAAACTTAGGTTAAGAGTGTCAGGAAATTTGGCTTCAATTTCAGACAGAATTGAAGGACTTTGAGGATGATTAAAGTCCATGAAAGCAAATGAAGTTTATCATTGACATTACTGGTTCATTAACAAATGATAGATTCACATATTTGCTGCAAGGTACTTGCCGGTGAATAATATAGTGAATAACTATAGGTTTTAAACACCTTACATTTTCATAAGCTTTTAAGTTTCTCCACTAGATCTTTTTTACCTCACACTTTCTTTTAGCATCATTAGTTACAACAGATCAGATTCTGCTTCAGGTTTTACCAAATTCGTTTCCTCAGCTTCTTTCAAAGTATTCACCAATAGTTCCATGCAGAGGATTCACAGATGCTAATTCTTCAGTAACTTCAAACTCAGAATTGACACCTCAAATAAGCAAGAACTGAGCTGTATTAGAAACATCTATCAACTCATCAAGAGTAAACAACTACTTGGACTCATTTACCGTTTTGACTATTGATGGTACTCCCAGTGTTCACAACTCTTTGAGCAACTGTTCTTGCCAAAAGGCTAACAGTCCTAAACAAAACTTCCTTTCTCTGGACACATTTCTTAAGACTGCTGCTTTCAAACAAACACAATTAACTCTCCATCAGTAAACAATTTTTCTTTCTTGACTTAACAAAAGTCACTTGGAGACATACTTTGGTTGTAGCCCCACTTTCATTTTTTATTTTATAAGGAAATTCTACTGTGAATTTCCAGTTTAAATCTGTAATTGTTCTGACAGTTGCTTGCCTGTGACTTGGAAATACTGTGATGAGTAGTTCTTATGGAAATGTCAAAGTATATTTTACTTTAGCTCAGTTATGGATGCCTTATCGTCTAATTCAGTATCAAAAATGTTCATACTCTACTTTAAAAGTTCAACATGGATGTCCACTTTCCTTGTTTTGGAATGATAGATATACACTCATAATAGTAAAATAAAATGTTACAGCTTGACGCAATATATGTTGCACTTAAAATGCTGTTGCGTTATAACCGTGTCACTGATTTGTAGTGTGCTGAGCAGCAATGTGAAGTGATGAAAATCATATCCCATCTGTGTTGCAGCTAACTACTCAGCTCTGGTGTTATTCCAAGAGGGCAGCCATAGCCAGTATGTAAACAAATAAGCATAAAAAACAAGTTCCAATAAAACTTTATTTATGGACACTGAAATTCAAATTTCATATAATTTTCATGTCACAAATTTTTTTTTCCCAATCATTTGAAAGTGTAAAAACCATTCTCAGCTTACTTGGCATACAACAGGTGGTGGACAAGATTTGGCCTGCTGGATATAGTTTGCCTGTCTCTGATCTAAATAATCTCATGTTATTATTAATACTTCTATATTAATAGTAATAGTATAGGAGTACTTACATATAACTTAGCTATACTCTTCAACTAAGGATAACTATAAAATGATTAGTGCTTTCCTAGTTAGCATGCAGTTATCTTGCTTTCAAAAACTACTTTCCCAAGATCATATTTAAACATATTTATCTAATAAAAGATTAGATATATATGATGATAAAATTATAAAACAAAATATATTTAGTAGGCTTATTTAAATTTTAATTTGATAATTCCCAATATTAATATTGATTTGATATTAATATTAATTTGATAATTTATAGGACTGTGTTAGTTGCTCAGTCATGTCTGACTCTTTGTGACCCCATGGACTATAGCCCGCCAGGCACCTCTGCTCATGGGATTCTCCAGGCAAGAACACTGGAGTGGGTTGCCATTCCCTTCTCCAGGGGATCTTCCAGATGCAGGGATCGAACCTAGGTCTCCTGCACTGCAGGCAGCTTCTTTACCTCTGAGCCACCAGGGAAGCCAGCAAGGGTAAAATAAAAAGAGTTCAATACTAAGGTAACTGAATGCTAAAATATTACAAATCATACAAATGATAGTTCACTATCATAAAGGTCTAGTGGGGAGATGGAGAAAATATTTCCAATCAAGTGACTGGAGCAATTTGTGTATTTTCTTCTTAAAGGTCTTTATCTGTCCTCTGGCGTTTAAGAGGTTGATCTTCATGATTGTCTGTAACAAATCCAGAAAACCTATATTACATAAGATACTTAACATTTAAAAATAACTTTTAAAAAGCAAATAACATAGGCATTTTAAAGATTTTCAATGTACTCAACTTATGCATGAAATAGTAACATTCTTGTGGATTTATTATTTTGACGAAATAGCCTTCTACTAGACTGAACAGTGTCATAATAAAATCTGTAAAATTGTGAGAAATTAGTCACAGTTGAATGGCAAGGGGTCTTGAACTGAAATATCTAACTAGAATTAGTTTATTTCTAAGTTTAAAAAAGAATATAAAATATATATGTTGCCCAGGAAAGTTATCTTAAAAGTATTACAGCTTACATTTAATTTCCCAGAAATCACTCACCTCGATTTACGGTCTGGTTCTTGTAAAGTACAGCAGCAGGAATCCGAAAAGTGATGCATAACATTTCCTTGTTAGGGGCCACATTTCTTACTAGGTGAACTGAACTACTTGCCTCCAAGGAGATGCCTAACACAGTTCCAGCTCGTTGCTGAACATCCTTAGCTGGATTAGCATCTTTGGAAAAGCTGTAACAGTGCACGATGGGAAGGAGTTCACTGCCACATGGCTGACCATCTAAGAGTGCTTTGAAAGCGCTGATAAACTCAATAGCCTTTGCTGGCAAATTCATGACAATGTGCACAGAGTGTTTTCTTTCTTTTGACAGTGGTCCCAGCTGCTGCATTAACTCTTCTCTGACTGGTCCTTGCAGGAAGTCTTTCCCATCCAAGTTGAAGACTTTTACTTTTTGGTCCACTTTATTTAATTTACAATTGTGCAGTAGCCATTTATGGGATTCAGGATTGAGATCATTAGCAAACACAGTGCAGTTTTTCTTCGCTGCTGGAATGGCAAAGGGCCCAACCCCAGCAAAAACATCAAATAGGACATCCCCAGGTTTGAGAAGTTCTGTGATGCGGCTGTGTTCTGTGGAGAGACGAGGATTCCAATAGACTTTTGAAAAATCAAATTCATAGGTGTAATTGTTTTCTCGAACCTGAAAAAAGTATTATGCTTTTGGTTAAACTCCAGCTACTGATATTGGATGGATGCATTCACACATACACACATTTAAATTTACTACTATTAAGAGCAAATTACAGTGTGTTTAAAGGCATTTAAATTAGAAATCTGGTGTTTATGCTAAACTTGAGGGTAGTTACTATTTTGCATTAGACGTTTTCATGAGAAAAGTCATCTCTTCAAAACCCAAACAGCTCTCCATCTCATCCTAATGGACCATAAAATGGCTCCCAGATCACACTAGGAATTTTGCAGATAGGCCAATTGACTGGCTTAATTATATTATCTCCTGTCACCTGATAGGAAAAAGCCATTAGGGTGAAACAACACACTACATCTGTCTTCATGGTGGGTAGCTAAATTGCAGACAGCTCTTCCACACAGCAAACATGCTTTCCTTCCTTAGTTTTCAGTTTGGCAAGATAGATGCATCATGTGTCAGTGAATTTCAAGGTACTTCCTTACGTTTTTAGACAGTTACTTGGACTTTGTAGGTTTCACGTCTATAAATAGAGCCAGTGTATAGAATAAATCATTCCCCTGTTTTTGCCTTTCCCAAATCTGAGTTTTCATGGATAAACTAAATATATACAGTGAAGCTAAGTCTTGAACAAAATTAAAACTTTATAGCATTTCTTTGGGGACTATCATAAACATGATAGAAAATAGAAAACAAAATTAAAACTACAATTGTGAAATGTGACCTCACCTATCATCTTAAGTCCCTTATTTTAACAGATGAAGAATCAATGGCCAGAAAGTTCCTAAGTTCTATAAATCTAATAGATCTTCTGTATTCTCTCTTCATGGACCTTAATTCCAAATTTGTACATATTTTTTCCTCCTGACCACATCAAATGCTTTGATCATATTATTAAGTTTAAAGAGTTTGAAGTATTTCTTCATGATTCTGCCAACTAAGAATCAATCTAGGTATATAACCTGGATGGCTTAAATGTGTCTTGGGATGCTTTTCCTGAAATCTCCTTTCTACTTGTCTTTTAAGCTCTTTAGTGTGAGTCACAGATCTAGATCTAGATTAAATGATGCTAAGTATCCCTTTGGTTTTACTCATGCTATCTTTGATATCTCGTTCCCTTAGTTAAGCATTGCTTTCAGGAGATCCACTTTAGCAATGTTTTTAAATACTACTTACATGTTGCATGAGCTCTTAAATTTAAATGTGACTATGTTTGAAGCAAAGAAATTATACTGAGTTTTCACATTTATTTGAGAGTATATATATTAGGCATAAAGTATGTCCTAAGAACAAATTTTAGTTGACTTGGGAAGTCAATCACAAGGCATTTATAAAATTACAGAAGTTTCTCAGTTTACAGAAGTTTACATCTTCTTTCTAAGAAGAATGATGCTTCCTGACACTCCGAGGGTCACTACCAAGTAAAGAACATGCACAATGTTCAGCTTGGGTGTGCCTAAAGTTTAGTATGTCTTAGTGTCAGCTGATTAGTTAAGCACAGTTATTATCAAAGGAGTCACATCCAAATCTTGCTTGCCAAAATTGACCTCATTCATTGTACACAAGCAGTAGGTAGTGGAGGTTTGGTATACAGGGCAAGACTAAGCATGGACTCTGGAGTCAGAACCTGACTCAAAAACCCTCTGCTCAGTCATTCCTTCTTACTTCATGTGTGTAAAGAGAGTATTAATAACAACAACCATTATCTTGTGGGTCTCTCAGGATTTGTTTAAGCTGTTTCTTAGCTTGGGTACAACATTTCACATAATGTTAACATGTAATTATCTAAGGCTTTAGCTTAAAAACAGTTTATTACATCCAACACTACAGAGGGTTTGGGGGGTGGAAGATGAGAAAATGGTTTATACCAGGAATCTATTCCTATATATTTTAGGTTATTTTTTCTTTGAAATAGGTTTTGTTTTTCTTATAGAAGAAATATGTGCTCAGTAGAAAAGTATAAAGATAACAAAGGTCACCAGAAACTATACCAAATGAAAATATGCTCACTGTTAACGTTCTGATGTATATGCATATTTACATATTTAAAATCATCATAGCTAAAATGGAACTCAATTATGTATACTGTTCTACAGTTTATTTTTTGTCACTTGGCTTGTCAGTGGACAGTTTACTTTCAGTATGGAGCAATACTGCATAGGAACCTTGATGTTAGGTCCAGGAATAAAGACAAATTGGAAGTGGTCAAACAGGAGATGGCAAGAGTGAACGTCAACATTTTAGGAATCAGCAAACTAGATTGGACTGGAATGGGTGAATTTAACTCAGATGACTGTTATATCTACTACTGTGGGCAAGAATCCCTTAGAAGAAATGGAGTAGCCATCATAGTCAACAAAAGCCTGAAATGCAGTACTTGGATGTAGTCTCAAAAACAACAGAATGATCTCTGTTTATTTCCAAGGCAAACCATTTAATATCACGGTAATCCAAGTCTATGCCCTGACCAGTAATGCTGAACAAGTTGAAGTTGAATGGTTCTATGAAGACCTACAAGACCTTCTAGAACTAACACCCAAAAGAGATGTCCTTTCCATTATAGGGGACTGGAAAGCAAAAGTAGGAAGTCAAGAAACACCTGGAGTAACAGACAAATTTGGCCTTGGAGTACAGAATGAAGCAAGACAAAGGCTAATAGAGTTCTGCCAAGAGAATGCACTGGTCATAGCAAACACCCACTTCCAACAACACAAGAGAAGACGCTACACATGGACATCACTAGATGGTCAATACCGAAATCAGACTGATTATATTCTTTGCAGCCAAAATGGAGAAGCTCTATACAGTCAGCAAAAACAAGACCAGGAGCTAACTGTGGCTCAGATCATGAACTCCTTATTGCCAAATTCAGACTTACATTGAAGAAAATAGGGAAAACCACCAGACCATTCAGGTATGACCTAAATCAAATCCCTTACAATTATACATTGGAAGTGACAAATAGATTAAAGGGATTAGATCTGATAGATAGAGTACCTAAAGAACAATGGACGGAGGTTCGTGACATTGTACAGTAGGCAGTGATCAAGACCATCCCCAGGAAAAAGGAATGCAAAAAGGCAAAATGGGTGTCTGAGGAGGCCTTACAAATAGCTGTGAAAAGAAGAGAAGCGAAAGGCAAAGGAGAAAAGGAAAGATATCCCCATTTGAACGCAGAGTTCCAAAGAAGAGCAAGGAGAGGTAAGAAAGCCTTCCTCAGTGATCAGTGCAAAGAAATAGAGGAAAACAATAGAATGGGAAAGACTAGAGATCTCATCAAGAAAATCAGAGATACCAAGGGAACATTCCATGCAAAGATGGGCACAATAAAGGACAGAAGTGGTGTGGACCTAACAGAAACAGAAGATATTAAGAGGTGGCAAGAATACAAAAAAGATCTTCATGACCCAAATAACCATGATGGTGTGATCACTCACCTAGAGCCAGATATGAAGAACTGACTCATTTGAAAAGACCCTGATGCTGGAAATGACTGAAGGCAGTAGGAGAAGGGGACAACAGAGGATGAGATGGTTGGATGGCATCACCGACTCAATGGACATGAGTTTGAGTAAGCTCCAGGAGTTGGTGATGGACAGGGAGGCCTGGTGTACTGCAGTCCATGCGGTCACAAAGAGTCAGACATGACTGAGCAACTGAACTGAACTGATGGAGCTAAATAATCTTCAATGATGGAGTATTCCATTGTATTATTATCCTAAAATTTAATCAGTTATCTACTGATATTTAGGTTGTTTCCATTCCATGTTTATTTATTTATTATTATAAAAATGATGTAGGTGGTCTAGTGGTTAAAATTCCATACTTCCACTGCGGGGAGGACATGGGTTCAGTCCCTGGTTGGGTACATCATTACAATTTTGTCCAGTTATATTCTTGAGATAATTTCCTATAAATGGAGTGCTAGGTCAAAGGATGTATCTATTCAAAATTGCAATATATTACTATACACTCTTCTGGACTGTATCAAATTTGCTCTCCCATCAATAATATATGTAAATGCTTACATTCTCACATACTCATCAATACTGGGTATTATATTTTCTTAATCTGTTATCCTGATTTCAAATGTTAATCTTGATACACACTGTATTAGGAGACAATAAAATAGTCCATACCTTGGTCATCATATTCTCCTCTCCAGACAGTACTTCCATTTGGAAATTTCGGTAGGTATTATCAATATTATTGATTTTATTTACTGCTGAGGTGATTCCTGGATTTTTGTCAATCATAACTTGGCCTAAAAGCACAGAAATCATGATAAATACTGCCTTCTGGTTGCAAAATAAAAGCTAAAATTGCAAATATGAAATGGATGTGAACTATATTTTCTTCTGGTTTATAGACAAAAACCGCATCTACTGTGTGTGCACGCATGCCAAGTGGCTTCAGTCGTGTCTGACTCTTGCAACCGTATGGACTGTAGCCCGCCAGGCTCCTCTGTCCATGGGATTCTCCAGGCAAGAATGCTGGAGTACGTTGCCATGCCCTCCTCCAGGGGATCTTTTCCGACCCAGGGATAGAACCCAGGTCTCTTATGTCTTCTGCATTGACAGATGGGTTCTTTACCACTAGCACCACCTGGGAAGCTGATGTGTGTAGAGGAATGCAATTCTAAAAATCCAACAAATTACTAAAGTTAATTTCTGACAGCCCCTATGCAAACACACAAAAAATGTGTGGGTACATTTATAAAGAAAAAATTTTGAGGAACTTGTCCTGCCTAATATTTTTCCATGTCTTTTACTTAGTCTTCTCAAATGTATCAATGCAACAGTAAGCAAACAGGTAGACCCAGGGAATTGGTTAAAAAATAGAAGAAAAATTAAGGACTATGCAAACAAATTGTCTCAGAAAACACTAGCCTGTCCCCACTGGCCTCAAACCAAATGTTTGCTTTGTTGTGTATTTAAAATAGATACTTCCACTTTGGAAATGCATACCAGCAAATGTTTTCAAATAAAAGAAACATTGATTCTTTAGTTTTCTCTAAATAAAATGTTTATTGACTTAAATTGTTCTTTATGTCAAATATTTTCCAGAGCACAAAAAGCTACAAAGGTAAAAGACATTGGCAATGGTATGTTGATGCCCTATAATCAAAGTCTGCATTTTTGTCAGCACTTCAAAAAATTTACAAGAATCTATATGCTATCTCATTGTATAAAGAAAGATAAGTTGATTTGTAAGTAAGTATAAAGTACTCCATAATACAAATACAACAGAGGACGACAGAGGATGAGATGGTTGGATGGCATCACCGACTCGATGGAAATGAGTTTGAGCAAGCTCCAGGAGTTGGTGATGGACAGGGAAGCCTGGCATGCTGCAGTCCATCGGGTTGCAAAGAGTTGGACACAACTGAGTGACTGAACTGATAATACAAATATGCTTAAATACCAACTGGAATTTGTCTAATTTCTCTCTGATAATTAGATACCTGATTTTGAATATGATAATGTCAAACTATTGTCAATCATTATTTTATCTTGTTCTGCTTCAGGTATCAGAACTCAATTTTTAAGGTACAGAAATTAGTTTGAAATGAAGAACAAAAAAAAAAAACATTCTAAAGGTCTATAGTAAAAGTTTTAAAATTACTTCTGTATGAAAATGTTTCATTTTTAATCTGTGAGTGCCCTTTTATGACAGCGAGTTTATAAAATAAGAGTGTTAAAAGAATGTTGAGTTAGGACAGCCAGTGATTCAACAGAAAGTCTAGACTTGACATTTGTACCAGATCATAATTATAAGGCTCTGCTTAAGTATTTATTATGTTATCACTATGCATTATTAGCCCCTTTCATCAATAAAAACAAAGTAAATGCATAACAGCACATCTCTGAAATTCTACCCATGCAAAACACTGAGCACTACATTTTAAAGCTGAAAATAATTCCCAGAAGTTCTGACAATTACTCTGTATTAAAAATGTCACTCTGGAGAATGCATGACATTAAATATTTATGTAAGGACAAGAACAATTTTGATTAGCCTTCTACTTCTTTCTTAGTCCAAAGAATAAAAGACTCATGCTTCAACTCGGCTACAGAGTTGTTTCTAAAAAGCTGCTGCTGCTGCTAAGTCCCTTCAGTCTGTCCGACTCTGTGTGAGCCCACAGACGGCAGCCCACCAGGCTCCCCCGTCCCTGGGATTCTCCAGGCAAGAATGCTGGAGTGTGTTGCCATTTCTTTCTCATGAAAGTGAAAAGTGAAAGTAAAGTCGCTCAGTCTGTCCGCTCTTAGCGACCCCATGGACTGCAGCCTACCAGGCTCCTCTGTCCATGGGAGTTTCCAGGCCAGAGTACTGGAGTGGGGTGTCTAAAAAGCTAGGAGTACTAAAAAACAAAGTATGGTGCCTACCATACAGAAGATTAACTGAATTAACTGAATCAATGAAAGCGTCAGTAAACACTGTCTTGCCCTTTTGACTATGAAACACTCATAGTGATATTTAGAGCTTGCTATGACTCTGGGAGGGCTTCCCTGGTGGCTCAGTGGTAAAGAGTTCACCTGCCAGTGCAGGAAATGTGGGTTCGACCCCTGGGTCAAGAAGATCCCCTGATTAAGGAAATGGCAATCCATTCTAGTACTTTTGCCTGGGAAATCCCATGGACTGGGAAGCCTGGTGGGCTACAGTCAATAGTGTCTCTAAGAGTCGAACACGACTTAGCAACAGCAACAACAAACGACTCTGGGAAGGCTATTCCAAAGTGGCCCTCAAAGGAGAGTATGTAGCTCAAGATCCTGCTTAAATTAAAATGATAAAATGTCCCATTTCTATAACTAGGCATTTAAATTTTTTTAAACTAAAATTAGAACTTGCTAATTGGTTTCTAATATGTGACTATTACTAAGACACACCTACCAATTAAATGCTTGTAAGGTAGTTGATGATCTCGAAGGTTCAGGTGAGCAATGTGTCCAACTCTGCTAAACCCTGAGGTCACATCTTGACCTTCAGGAAGCACAGCTCTCAAGATTTCTTCTGACTTAAAGTTTTCATAAGTTAGTTCCAGATTATATTTCGATATCTGTGGATTGACATTCAGCTGCTTTAAAATACTGAGTTCTTCTTTCTCAAAGGAATCAACGGTAAATATTTTATAGGGATCCAACATAATTAGTCTACCTTCTTCATCTTCTGGATCTTCAATCACACGTTTTATGCCTGGGCGCTGCAGTGCTGCCCTTTTAAGGGATCGCATCAGTTTATTGACTATTTCTTTCCTCACTTTAAGCACTGGGATGGTGACTATCTTTTTAAAAGCTGTTCTATCAAGTTCTGTCATTCCTCGAACATCAGAAGGTGGGGAAAACAATTCAGAGTCTCTGTGATTTGTTTCTATTTCAGGCATGGTTGAGAATCTTTTTCTTTGATCCAGCAAGAAAATGACAGGTGCGTTGCTAAGCTTCTGTATCAGCGATGCCCAAGGTAGTAGAATCAGTGATGCTGACTCAGTTATTCTACAGCTTTCCACTTTGAGAAGTCTTCTTGAGAATCCAAATTGTTTCAATAAGCTCCTAAAAATAAAGCATTCAATTAAAAGAAATACCATGAAGCTACAAACTAGCTTAACATGTTCACAAGTCTTAATAAAAATTTTGTTTCAAATAACCTGCTAAATGCCAAAGATTAAAACTTTTAGTGGTATGTGGGAAGTGTAATATTAATAACTTTTCCAGGATAGGATGACTTTTACTAGTAGTAAATAATAAATCTGTATACTTCCGAGTCCACCTGTGGCCTGGACTAGGGTTTAGTGAACAAACCTCCCCACCCACAATTTTCTACAGAACATTTTGGGACTGGAAGGCCGAAAATAAGTTAAAGGATCATCTCTAAACGAAATGGTCACTATATTGATAATTTTACCAATGTCAATATTTAAAAGGATATTCTTATGGAAGCTCATTGGGTCAGATGTTGCGCTGAACGCTTTACTCACAGTAACAGTCTTGGGAGGTGTGTGGTATTGCATTCTCTTTTCTGCAAAGGTGTAAACTAAGAAATAGGTTAATTGACCCAAAATCTAGGTGCTATAAATGGTTGAGCAAGGATTAAAATCCAGGGCCTGCGTTCTTAATCTATTTCTATGTTGTCTTTGATGTTTTACTGCCACAAGTCCTACCTATGAGTAGAGGTTTCAGTAGTTCTAGGATGGGAACTTTGCTGAGTGTTACATGCACATCCCATTAATATCGGTTTTTCGTTTTGCCTTCCGGAATACCGAAGAAGTAACTGTTAAGAAAGGGCCCTGCCTAGGAACCCTGTCAAGCAACTGTCAAAAAGCTGACAGGGTTCAAACTGGGTTTAGCAGTTAACCAGATGTGTGATCTTGGGTAAATTACTTAAAGTGAACCTCGGCTTTCCACAAGTAAGATGTGGCTAAAGGTTCTATCGGAAAGTTCTGAAGAGATGAAACACCCCTCACTTCCCCGTACTCAGGCCTAGGCCCTGCACCGGGCGGTGGGCGACTTCCTGACGTTTCAGAGCGAGGCGGAGAGCCGCCCAGCCGACCGGTACCGCCACCGGACCCTCAGCCCCTTCGTGTCGAGGGCACCACGGCCGCCACTTCACCAACGTCACCATCCCATTTCCCGGGGTCGCCCCGCAGCTGGCTGCAAGACCAGACCCTCACCTCATGCTCCGGTGCTGCTCGGAAACGTGTCTTCGGCGGGTGGGCGGGCCCGCGATGACACCATCAAGGTTCGCCGCCGAGAGGCGAGCGTCACCAGATCACGTCGATCCCTCTCTTCGTCCCGGCCCTGGTGAGGTACGGGAAGCCGGAAGGGCCGGGGACGTGGGCCCGCCTCCAGCGCGACTACAGGCGGGAGGGCAGGGGTAGCAGCTAGTGGATGGGCTGGGTAGTCGACCGGCGAGCGGCATGGAGGTCCCAGCGGGGGTCATCAACACCGAGCCCGGCTGGTTTGTCTCCTCTCAGGGGCCCGAAGAGGCGGAGGCGGAAGAGTCTAGCCCGTTGCTTAGCAACGTAAGTTTGCTCCGCTGGCTCCCCGTTCTGAAGTGACTGCCAAATGAGACCGGGAAAAAAAGGGGGATGGCAAGGGCAGAGGGGAGAAGCTTAGGACCTGGGGCCCAAAGGCAGCAGCTGAGATTTCGAGGAGATCTGGTGGAGTTCATCAATGAGATAGGAGCCCACCTGTCCTAGAAAGAAAAGCTGAAGCTGCAGGCTCAGGTGGAAGAGACGCAGCAGCAGGTAGAGGCAGGGGACCCCACTAGGGGAGCAGCCCCACGGTTATGTAACTCACTGCTCTCAGTATCTTTGTCGGCTTCTCGTTTTTTTCCACCAGTCTTGTGAGCTTTTTGCAAGAGTCACAAGATTTTGCTTTTCTCAGCTTAGTCATTGGGGACCTGTAAACATCTTACTACAGATATACTTAACCGTGAAGGAGCGTGGGTGGCCTGGTAATGAGTACTTAGCACTTCCCTGACCCTAAAGCCTGTGCAGTGGGCACTTCGGCCCTTTAACTTAAGTCCCAGGGCAGTAACAGTTTCTACGATTTTATTCCCAAATGCTATTTCAGGGGAGAGTGTTTTCAAGGCGTATCCTCCCCAGAGCAAAGTGAATTGCTTCTATTTACAATATCGTCATTGCATGGCATTCCCTGCCCATCTTTTCAGTTGGCCAGACTTAATTCACTAAGTGTATAAACAGAAATTAGTTTTGCAATCCTAGTAAATGGGGAGCAACAGTTGTCTAAAGCAACCTCAAGCTGACTCAGGGATTCTTCAGTTATCACGTGAGCTTGAGGCCATCTGCCTGCTCCCTGCCCCCACCCCATTTTACCCTATCTCCATCTTTTGCAGTTACAAGGTTAGTCATGCTTTCTTCCTGAAGCCTACTGGGTCTCTGCGCAGGTGGAGATGATTTTCCCAGGAAACTGGATTCCTGGAGCTGCACTAGTGGGAAGTGAGAAGGAAAGGAAAGGAGACGAGGTCCTAGTTGCTGGTTGAGCGACTAGTATGTCACAGTATGTCTGTGGTTTTAGGAGACTCTCCATAACCTGTCAGTCATTTCTTGACCAAAGTTGGACTTCACCATTCAAACACTTAACTCTCTCAATTCATGTGCTTACAGGGAGTTCACACACAGAGATCCCGAGGTGCTTCATTTGGTTTCTCAGTGTTTAATTTGATGAATGCCATCATGGGAAGTGGCATCCTTGGCTTAGCTTATGTTATGGCTCATACTGGTATCCTTGGATTTAGGTGAGTTTTTTTCTTGTTTTACTATTTTTTCTTTTTTTAATTTTGATAGTACATTGAGAAGCAAAGAGATAGGCTGTGTAACTTGTTATTATACAATTTCTAGTTATTTCTGGGGTTCCTCTTATTCTTATATTGTTGCTAGTCTGTACCTTGGAAGGATGCTATATAATTTGTATTTTTTATCCAAAGTGTGTTTAATTTAAAAAAAAAAAGAGAGAAACTTGATCCACATTCCTTAATAACCTTAACAAGTGGCTTATTTGTTGTGTTCAGTGGGCCAAAGTAAATAAAAGTTTACCAGTCGTGCAGATTATTTATAAATAGCAATTTTGTGACTGTGAATAAAACATATAATCCTTTGGTTTCTCTCCATTTCTTTCTCTCCTCCTGTTAAGTAGTCTTGTTTCACTTTCTGAGGCTAGACATGTATCCTGTGTTTATTCCCTTACATCTTTTAAGACTCAGCTCATAGGCCAGTTTGCCAAGACAGAAGACATTGCTGTCTTTTCTGTGTTTCCATAGTACTTTTATATTCATTCTTTTATTATAATGTAATTATTTGTTTGCAAGTTATTTTCCCCACTGAACTCTGAAATCCTTTAGGGCTAGATCTTATCCTTAGCATGGAGCATCATGCTTAATAGAATGAATGAACATGTTTGTTTTGTCAGTACAAGCAGACCTATTTTTTCTAGGAAATTTAAAATACCTAGGTCATGTAGGTTCATTTTTGCTTTTACTTTGAATTTTTGGTTAGCTAACCAACTTCTAAGTAACCCAACTTGCTTTTATTATGGGATGTATTTGCAAACTTTCATAGTTTTAAAACTTAAAAGCTATGTATGACACCTCAGGCAAGACATAATCATAGGACTTATTTCTTAGTTCCATTTGAAAAATCACATTTTTTACTGCAAGATCTCACATGCAGATATATACCACTGAATGGGTGCTTGCTGAATCATATCTCAGTTTCCATCTGGTGATGCCAACCTTATGTTGTGAGGTCTCTGACATCAGTTGACAAGTGTACTTTCACCTCTCCATTTTGCTACTTATTAACAAGTATTAAGTTGACTGCAAAGATAGAATTTCTTCAACTTCAGGAGCACTCCTCTGGAAACTTGTCTTGCCAGTATCTTCCTGAGAATAAGTAAGGGATTATGTATGCTGTTTCTTTTCATACTTTTGGTGAGAGGACCCCAATGATTACATTACACATTTTTCAAATCACGTCATTAAAAGTATGTTAACTATTTTTTTTGGATTGGTTTGTTGAGTATGTTTAATAGATGCTGAAATGCAGTGTTTATTCAAAATTATAGGGAGGTACTCATCACTGGGGGCCCCCAGGTGGCTCAGCAGTAAAGAACCCACCTGCCAATGCAGGAGATCCCTGGGTCAGGAAGATCCCCTGGAAGAGGGAATGGCAATCCACTCCAGTATTCTTGCCTGGAGAATCTCATGGACAGAGGAGCCTGGAGGCTACAGTCCATGGGGTTGCAAGAGTTGGACACGACTTAAGTGACTAAACAGCAGCAACGCATCATTAAAAGGGGAGGGATTGAGGAAAGAAAAAAGATAATGGGATTTCACAACTGAAACTTACTTCTCTTAAGTTGGAAAGAAGACAGAGGAGCCTAGAGGGCTACAGTCCATAGGGTTGCAAAGAATCAAACATGACTGAAGCGACTTAGCACGCATGCATGTGACCATTTGAATGTGGGAAAAAAATGTTTTTTGAATGAAATAACATAAAAAGGAAACTTTTAGGGGACACATTTGACCATGTACTCTTTTATGTTTTAGTTTCTTGCTGCTGATAGTCTCTCTCCTGGCTTCTTATTCAGTTCATCTCCTGCTTAGCTTGTGTATTCAGACAGGTAAGTAAAATGTGTGCTTATTTATTTGATAAAATAGCCTATTGAGATCATGTCTACCTACATCAGGTTGGCTGTCTCAGATCTAATTTCCAGTGGGAATATTAGGTAGGGGGGTTGAAATGGAGAATTTCAGAAGGTCAGAATATATGGACCCGGTCCTTCAGGGGAATATCCGAGGAAGCCAGCATCCTTCCTTGCCTTTCTCCACAACACGTGACATGGTGTTCTAGGTTAGAAAAGATTAGGGGAAGCACCTGAAAGGTGTTTAAAGGATCCAGACTTTGTGTTAGGGAGAAGCAGTACCCAGGTGTTCATGCTGATCATCTTTCTCCTAGGGGGATCACTTTCTGGAGAACACCTTCCCAGATCTACTACTGCTGTCTCTGCCCCCCATATATAGATGTATATAAATATATATATATATATATATATATATATATATATGTAAGTTTTTTCCACTTATGAGATTCAGTCATGTATTGAATAGTTCTTTAAGTTGCAATAAATAAAAGTGTATGAATCACGGAACTGCTTTCTTAAAATTTTTCTTTTGTCATTAACAAATATTCTGTGTCCACCAGTCCTGGTCTTTTTATTTGTCTAGTCTGATCTACCTTTGGATTAGGACAGTTATGATGCCAGAACCACAAGTTTAAGTCTTATGTGGATGGGTTCACTTTGCCCTATCTGATAGGTTCACTTTGCCCTGTTGTTTTCAGGTTTTTAAGAAACAGAACAGATATATAAAATAGATAAAAATGGGATTGTTCTGGTTCAAACAGGTGTTTCTTGAGTATTTTAAGACTCTTCAGAACAGAGTTCTAAATCCACAGATCTAGTCTTTTTAATCTGTCTATGCATCACACACCTGTAGATTGTTCTGTAAACAGAGGTTTCTAAGCCTCAGGGATTCTAATTCCAAGAATCTGAGGTAGGATTCAGGAATCTCTTCAAAAGTCCTCCAGGGTACTCTTACACAACACGACTTAGGATCCATAGTTCATAGCTGTAAATTGTGTCATTGCTTTTGGTCATTCAGCCAACAAATACATTCCTTTGCCTGCAAGGAGCTTGGGTGTCTGTGCATTCAGATAGAAATGCTAGGAAATGATGCAATGATATTAATCGCAAAGTAACAAGTTGTTCATAACAACATCCCAAATTCAGGAATAAGAGCATTAAAGAAGTATATTTGCAAATCCTGCTGAAAGGTGACTGAATTTTAATGCATGTTTTGAAATTCTGCTTCTTTGTTTAAAAAAGTTATTTTTACTTGTGATAGTTTATCTAACATCTTCATAGGTTCTTTTTATCATGGTTTCTACTAAAAGATTAATATGTTAGTCAATCATGTGGCAATTATGTCTTCATTAACTGAAGTGTTTTGCTTTATTAATTTAAATTATTTGGAAGTAGTATTCAATTTATGAAGATTTCCAAGTAAAGCTATTTTTTTTTGTTTGTTTTCTTTCAGATTATATGTATTTAACTTTAAAATTCTGATGTCTGTTGTTCTTTTCTATAACTTTGGGGCATGTAAAATGAAAAGCTCTCTTTCTCTTTCTTTTTTCTTTTTCTTTGATTTTTGTAGCTTACTTGGTCCATGAACTAACTTCTTCATGATTCTTCATACACACTGCTGCACCTGTCTGCTGTTGATTGAATTCCTTCAGTCACTGTAATGTTCTCTATGCAGGTAGGCTTTAAAAATAATAACAAATCATATATATATATATATATATATATATATATATATATATAGCATATGCATATGCTATATATATGCTAGAAAATAATACACAGCTAAATTTCTCTCTAGTTTGTTGGGCTGTCTTAAAAGAGTATTCAGATTGGATTCGTTGGTTGGAGAAAGGATTATCACAAGTCTTTACAGATTAGCTTCATTATTTGCCTAGAGCGCAAGAGAAATTCTGCCTTTATAAAAGTAAAGGATTTCTTTTCATGAAATTCTGCTATTCTTGATTTCATATAAGATTTGGGATCTGTATGGACTTTCCTTGAGAGCTGAGGAGGCATATAAGTTACCTTAATCTCTCTAGCCTTAGTTTGTGCTTAGTCACTCAGTCATGTCCAACTCTGTATCCCCATGGACTGTAGCCCGCCAGGCTCCTTTGTCCATGGAATTCTCCAGGTAAGAACACTGGAGTGGGGAGCCCTTCTCCAGAGTATCTTCCCGACCCAGGAAACCTTTGTTTGCCAATTCTAAAATGGTTGTGATAATACTTTTCTCTTGGGATTATTTTGAGAATGAAAAATAATGACATATATAAAATGTCAAGTCCTTGGTAAAATGCTAGTAGCTTTTATTATTATGAGTTCTCATTGGGCCAGAACCTGTAAGGATTGCAAAGTATGTGTGTATATATATATATAGGCTGCATGGCATGTGGGATCTTAGTTCCCCAACCAGAAACTGAACCCATGCTCCCTGCAGTAGAAGCAGAGTCTTAACCACTGGACCACCAGGGAGTTCCCCCAAGGCGCTGTACATACTGTACTGCTGTCCCCAAACAGTTGGCTCATTACGATTCTCTGGGGAAGTGTTAATGCTCTGGGGATGAATGAAGAGCTCCCCTCCTCTGGTTTCCACATCAGTGTCAACAGAAGAGAATCAGAGTCTTAGAACTCAGCCTGTATCTGGTCGGGACTCTACTTCCTAAGTCTTTGATCCCCACCACTCACTGCATTGTCATCATTCTTTGCCTTGAGATCATTTGGATTAATGATCTTATACTACTTAATTTACGTCAATTTATGTCACTCAATTTATGTCAACCAGTTCAAGAATCCTATGTTATCCTTCATTTCCCAGACCCACCCAACATAGTTCTGTCATTTTCTTTTTTAAATTTTATTGAAGTATAGTTGATTTACAATGTTGTGTTAATTTCTGCTATACAACAGAGTGATTCAGTTATACAAATATGTGCATTTTTTCATATTCTTTTCCATTATGGTTTATCACAGGATATTGAATATAGTTCCCCTCAACTCTTCTGAATATTTCCTTACCTTTCTCACTCTAGGAGAACCTAAGACTTCTCTGTGAACGCTGCTTTCCCTGCAGTCCTCTCAAGTGGCCTCTCTTTTCTCTTCCATGTCCCTCATACTGGTCTAAAGATAGGACAGATGTCCTACTGACATCTCATTTCCACTTCCTCTCCCTAAACCCCAGCTTTGAATCTCATAACTTCTACCTTATGGATATCATATACAGACTCCTCAGCCACGTTCTGTCATTTTATGAACATTTTAGCTTCTGCTCTCCTTTCAGTTTCTTCAGTATCACCCCATCTGGATGGGTACGGGATGATTTCAGTACCCATGCAGATAATCTAGTACTTCCATTGCCTTAACTTTTTCTCTTCTAATGATTAGATTCTCTGCCTACCTCAGCTACTTATTTCCCTGGTCATACCATTGATCTTGTCTTTACCAAAATTTCATCCTCTTCAAAATCTCATTTTCAAAAACCACCATCTTTTTAAAATTTTTAAAAATTCATTCCCTCAAGTACTCCAACTCTGGCAGTTCTTTGCCCCCACCTGGGCTTGAGTTCATTGATCTACTACTTTTGCTCTCTGCTTCACTCTCTTGTCCATATTTCCTCTCTGTATCCAGTTGAAGTTTCTTGTTACAATCACATCCTTGCTCCTCCCTTTCACCATGCTACTTTCCTGGCAAAACTCCAATCACAATTAAATGTAACAGCCTATCTCACACATGCACCTGTGCAGTTGACTATTCCTGAAGAACATACAGCCATGCAGATTAATGTCACTGTAACTCAGTGTCTAGTGGATCTGTGATGCTATCGTCTAATCCTTATTAACTTCTTCAGTTCATTCACTTGCTTACCCTGCTATCTAGGAGATGACTTTCATTTCTTCTTTCTCTCAGACGTTCAACACATTCTCCTTGATTTCATTCTTACCTGATATCCTCACTTTCTTTTTCACTGAGAAAACAGAAACAATCATAAAAGAACTTTATAAGCTCTTACTACCACTTCCACCCACCCGTCTTCACCTGTGACTTATATTGTTACTTTGGATGAACTCTCTGTGTTCTTGTCTGAGGCTAGCCCCTCCACTTCTGCTGTGACCCCGTCTGCTCTAACCTACAGTATTCCAGCCACTTTCTCCCTTCTCTTTTCTTTTTCATCATCTTTGTACCTTTCTATCAGTTTACAAATAGACTATAATTTCTTCCACTTAAAAAATGACTCTGCATTTGTTCGCTATACACCATGCCTTCATAGGGGATGACTGTCAGGTGGTACTAGTGGTAAAGTCTCTGCCAGTGCAAGAGACTCAAGTTCAATCTCTGGGTCAGGAAGATCCCCTGGAAGAGTTCATGGCAACCACTGCACCTGGAGAATCCCATGGACAGAGGAGCCTGGAGGGCCCCAATCTATAGGGTCATGAAGAGTCGGACACAACTAAAGCAACTTAGCACACATGCACACCGTCGTAGTAAAGCTCTTTTCAAGATAGTTGTCCCTACCAGATACTTCCCCTTCCTCTTATTCTCTCTTGAACACTCTTCAGTCAGCCTTTCCCCATTATTACACAGAAATTATTGTACCAGCGTCTTCCACCTTGCTGGTCCAGTGGTCAGTTCTATCTTCATCTTAGTTGACTAGTCAGCACCACTGGACGCAGTTGGTCACACCTTCCTCTGTAAAACGCTTATTCATAGTCTCCTGGTTTCCTTCCTGTTTCACAGAATATGCTTTTCCTCTGCTAAATCCTTGGGCTCATTACAGCCCTAAAATTGATACCCCTAGCCTGAATCTCTTCCCCTAAATTTCAGACTCATCCAGCTTCCTTCATGATATTGCCACTTGGATATTTAATACGCTAATCTCAAATTTCCCTCTTTACACTGCCAGTCTACACTTTACACTGTTTTCCTATCTAAGTAAATGATAAATCTTTCTTCTAGTTGCTCAGGCCAAATTATTAGAACTATTAGAA